AAAACTTCTAAGACAAGCATTTCTACGTTATGTCCCTGGTGGCGGCTCTGTCTCCAAGGAGCAGAGTTACCAGGAGTTGCTTCCTTCACTGATGAACAGCAGGAAGCTCAGTTGGTCAAGGAAGCAAGTGAGGGGAGGTATGGGCCTCTAACTCACAAGACAGGATCTAGGGCCTTCATGGAGTCCCTAGCCAGATCATAAGAGTTAACAGGAAAATATAAATAGGTGGAGAGGTGGGGACTGCAGAGAGGAAGTCCACTAACCCCACTAAGAGCTAATGCAATCATGCAAAGCAGAGGGAAGCAGGCTGTGGGCCAGTGGGACATTACTATAGTGCCCAGTGAGGAGGACGAAGCCATGTATGGCCCTATTTCCTGAAAGCCTCTGCCTTCCCAGAGGAGGAAGCAAGGAATTTTGTCATACAAAGACTTCTAAAGTATCTGCTGGGGCTGGGGATATAGCTCAGTGCTCTAAGCACCTGCCTGGCAAGCGCAAGGTCCTGGGTTCGATCCCTAGTACTGCATGCCATGCCAGCCTCAGAACTCAGGATGCACCATGCCAGCCACTGAAACCAAGCATGGTAATGCACACCTGTAATCCCAGCACTGGGGAGGCTGAGACAGGAGGATCACTACAAGTCTGAACTGCATAGCAAGGCCCTGTACCAAATAAATAAATAAAGGATTAAAAATAAATAAATAAAGTATCTGCAAATAGCCAAATTAGAAGCCATGAAGAATGAAGAATTAGAAATAAAGTCTAGTTCTTGCATTTATTCAATCTCTTTACCCTCTTATAAAATGTAAGTGGTAAAACTATTTTAAACTGCAGGTATTATAAGAAATAGCTTGGTAGCCAATTGTTGATTTTAGAAAATCTCACCAGAAGTTCACATTGCCTTATAAAAGCAGCACAGAGCCTCCTGCAACTACTGAGCCATGAGAAGATTGAGGGTGCTGCTCCAAGTTTCTGGGTGTCAGCCTCCAGGTCCAGGTTCCCAGGGGCAACAGGAATCTGCTGCGCGATTGGGGAGAGGGACAGTGGAGGGGAAAGTGGAAGAGAAGACTGAGGAGGCAGGTCTGCTGAGGCGGAACCTGCTAGAACCCCAGAAGCAGCACTGAGCATGTGACAAAGCCTTTGAAACAAGGCTCAAGCCCATCAGGAGGAGTTAAGCTGTGTATGCAGGCCTGGGTTTCATGCTGTTGTACAACTTCAGCTGCCCAGGGGAACCTTTCCAACATCAACAGTCCCCAGGCCAGAAAACAAACCTGGCGTCACAGGGTCTGAGTGTGAAAAAAGGATGCTGGGGGTGTAAGAGAAACTGGGATAATCTTTGCCTTGGAGAGATGGCCGAGAAGAGGTCTCACCCAGGCGGGCATCACAGGCCAGCTCCAACTTCCCCAGGCGTGCAAGTGAAGCTCCCTGGAAGCCAGACTCCACCAACATACTCTAATGGAAAATGCCTCAGGTATCCGACCCCGCAGCTAGTCTTCTCCAGCTGCCTAAACCAGTTATCATCCAAGACTGTGGCTTTTCATGAAACTGAATGTGACAGGATGCAAGGGGAGGCTAGGATAACATATAAAGACGTGTCATCATGGTTGCTACTGTCTTGTTTTGTTTTCTTAATCATTTGTGGTGTGCTTATTCTGTATTCAGCATTATATATCTGTAATTGAAGCCTCAAAAAAATCCTGCAACTTATTTTGTTTTATATAGAAGGAAATGAGGCTGCAGGGAAACTGAGTAACCGTCTCCAGCTCCCCAGTGACAGGTTTTTGACAGTGTTGCAGCAGAGAAACAGGCAGAAGGAAAAAGGGGGAAGGGCTTTATTATAAAGGGAAAGGACCTTCATCAGGACACGGAGAAAATTTGGGAAGACAAGGAATTCTCTGGATTGGAACAAAGGGAGGCTGAGGCTTTTAAGGCCTGTTGCCAGGGGTGGGGTTTGAGGGGGATGTTTAGATATACCTGAGGAGCTGACTGGCGCCTTCCCTGAGGTGGCGGGAAAGGTGGAAGGAAACTGCATCCTGGGCTGAGTTAGAGAAGAAGGGAGGAGGTGGTCTCTGGGAAGATGCTGTTGTTTTAAGGGCTTCAGTCATATTGGATGACCACCATAATAATTCAGCAATTCATATAGGGCCAGAACCTATCACCCAGGGGTCACTAGCAGTGGAAGGAAGGTCTAGAGATTCATTTGACCTCAAAGCCCGTGCTTTGCCCATGATATGGCTTACCTCTACAAAGGGCCAAAGACTCCCTACAAACATCAAGCAGCGGGCTGGCCCCCTGGGACATCTGTGGAAGCGCACACAGGGGCAGGGGAGCAACACCTGACAGTGGCTCTCAGGAGGGGATGGAGGCTACTGAAAGTTCCTGTGCTGATTCAGGCCTAGCTGGGGATGTCAGGGAGCATCTCAGGAGCCACAGCCCCTACTTCTGCTTGCTCTGCAAAGGGAACAAGACATCTGAATGGCCCGAGCCAAGGTACACATTCCCGCCAAATGGCTCCTGTTCAATTAATCACATACACCCATATGCAGCAAACTTTCTTGGTAGAGATCATGTGGGGTATTTTAGATTTTGTAGGTCACACAGGCTCATCACAGCTACTCAATCCTACCCTCGGAGATGAAAACAGCGATAGACGATACACAAATAAATCAGCGGGGCTACGTTCCAATAAGACTTTACTTACTGATACAGCTTCTAAGGTGATTATTAAGAAACCGATGCCTAATAAGTATCCTTGGTCTCACTTCTTCCAGGGAACTATTAGTTCTCCCACCACCACCCTGTCCTCGGCACTGACCTTATAGACACTACTGGGGCCAACCAGGAGAAATAAAGGTGGCTGGTCATTCCAGTAAAAGCAAGGCTGCATGTGCTTGGAAAGCATTCCTCAACAGGACCCTAATGATAAACTCTGTGGACAAACTTGATAAAACAGCAGAAATTGGCAGCATCATATTAGAACACTCAGAATACAGCCCAAGAAGATAGGCACTGTCATCGTTAGAATAACTAGTTTTCTCTAGCCCAGGCATTTACTAGCTATCACTGTCTCAGCCTCTAACTCTTGTCTGATTATGGGGACCATGACCACACAACACGGAACACCTGACACAAAATAACAACAGCTTTTTTATAGGGTTAAGGTGAAATGAGCCAAATGTGCAAATAAACGTAAAATTCTTCAGGATTAGCTACCATGACAATGCTAGTCCAATTTTACTGATCATAGTGAAGACGATCGTTCTCTCTCTTCCCCAAAGCAAGGAAATGCACTGAGTTAGATTCTGTAATAGATGGAATAGGTACTTATCCTTACAGCGTTAAACACCGATAGGAGGAAAGGAAATGCACAGAAGCAGTTACTAAATGTTGTTTTAGAGAAAAGGGGTTGTAAAATTCAGAGAATTTAGTCTTGTGCCTGCCACTTGGTATGGAATGGGAATTAATGCCCTCACTGAGAGCAGAGCAGAACTACCGAGGTCTCAGGTACAAGATAGATCATGTACAAACATTGCTTCCAGCTCTAGGCACTACTGATAGTAACCCCACTGATTTATAACTTATTTTATTGGCTAACAGTGGTGAGTGGCAAACTAGTTTCTTCTTAGAAGAAACTCGTCTGAAAGATGCCTTTACTTACAGTGATAATCGTAAATCCTTTCCTTTTTGAAGAATTCTCCAAATAATCACTGTCATTTATCCCACTATTGCTGCAGATAATAAAAATAAATACATACAATTTTTCATGCACTTATTGTTTATCACTTATCCAGGCATCAGACACCCCATAGATAATAGCTTAGTAAACCTTTAACCACAGTCTTCTGACTCTATCTGCAGATAGGGACTGAGACCCTGGGGGGTATTTGAGTTGACTGAAAAGATCACTCACCAAGTGTTGGAGTCAGAATGTGAACTCAGGGTTTGCTGATTTCAAAGTCTGTTCCTTCCCCACTATTCTACCAGACTCTGGCCCCAGGGAATTCACACCATGCCTTATATCTCACCTTCCCATACCTCTAGCTTTTAGCAACCAGTGAATCGGATTTGTGGAGAGCCCAAGACACAGAAAAAAAATCAGCCCAAAGCCACACTGATTTACTTCTTGGTCTCTACCACTCGCTGCACTCAGTCCCCACATCGCCACCTGTAGGACAGAGCTGGCGCACAGCACAGGGGCCAAGAACAACACACTTATAAGACAAAAGTCAGGAGGTCACACTCTGCCTGCCTGTTCAAAAGCCTATCTTGCTTGTTCACAGTCCTTGCCACCTATAAGGAAAAGACCAAAGGGATGAATTCAACAACCAGCCCTAAAATACAACCAGAAACTAGTATCTCACAGTGAAGTCTTAGCTGAAAGAAGAGTCCAGATTTGATTTATTCACATATTTCTTATTGATAAACATTTAGTTTTATTGATGACAAGTGGATTTTATTGGCTTTAATCCTTCTTAGTGGTAAATAAGCTCTACAAATCTCATCAAACTTTGAAAAATATCACCTTTCTAGGAAGGTTTCAGTCAGTGCCAAAACTTGACCACCTACAAGACCTTCAATAGATCAGACCAGAAAAAAACATGATTATAATCAACTGCTAGAACATGAAAAATGCATAGAACTAAGCTTTTGCAGGCTTGAAGTTCAACTTCTTTATACCCATTCTTCTTTCAAATTCTCCTGCATGGCATACAGAAAGTCATAATGTTAAGATAATATTAAAAGTCAAGATATTAAAATACAGTCAAAAATTTTTAGCTGAAAGGATTAACTGCTCATGAAAGATGATCCACAGGATGATAACTGAAGAAAGCAAAACTTGGAAACACTGAGCTCAGACTGTCTCCTTTGTTTTCAGCTGTAGAAATTGAAGGCCAGATAAATTCAATGACTTGTCCAACTCACACAGTAGGGCCATCATGGAGCAACCCTAAAATAACCAGACACACATTGGGTGTGTACATAATCCAAAGAAGATTATTTACCTGAATTTCTTACATTTGTGTTGTTCAGTTTGGAGTCCTTAATTACCAAGTGCTTAATCCATAGGGTAGGCGCTGTGATTTCTGGATTTAAAAAAACAGAGAAAGAAAGTCTGAGCACAGGAAAGTATGTAGCATGGGGTGTAAGCCTGGACTTTAGAAACTCTGTCTTAAAAGTCTGGGGTCTTAACACTTTAGCCTTCTCCCTCAAGATGTATGCACGGTGTCCATTGTCCTCTCCCCACCAGTTAGTAAGTGCCAACCAGGGCATCCTGCGGCAGGAGACGGAGTGGTCAGAGTCTAGTGACACTGAGCCACTCCATCCAGGAATAAAAATATTATCCCAGGAGGTGAGGAACATGGGCCAAGCCAAGTCCCTCTCAGCTGCTTCCCTGGGAGAAGATTTAAAGGGGATAAATCAACAAACACACGCCAAACCAACCACAGAGACTGTTTTAGAGGAAACAGCTGAGCCAAAGCAGATTCAGCTCGCTGAAACTCGCTCCACATGGGAAGGAAGGAGCCTCACATGGGATCCAACTATCTTTCTCACAGCTCCCTGAGCAGAGGCTGAATGTCTTCATCCAGAATGTTCCAGAATGCCTCCTGGCTCTCAGGACTTGGGTCACCCAATGGACAGGGAGTGTGGGAACACTGAGTAGCCCAGGACATACTATAGAGTGACAAAATCTTCAGTGAGGGTACTGAGGAGTTCTCCCCAGATGACATGATCTCCATTCCCCCACTTATCATTGAGGCCCAGACTTGCAATAACCTAGGACCTCCTTCAGTCAGAGACTTCGGGAGTTTTAGGCATGAAGCTATCAAAGGTTTTGGAATAATGTTTAAAGGTTTAAAAATGTATTATGGAACAATACACATTGCCATTAATTCCCCTCAAAATACTCTTTCTTGTTTTGAACATCTTTATCTCATTGTTCTGGCCACATTGTGAAGTGGTTCTGGAGGTCCTCTTTCAGGAGTGTCTTTCACTGGGCTGTTGTGGCTGCCTGGATGTCTTAAACCAGTTCAAAACATTTACTTTTCATGGACATTTTGACTTTGGGGAAGAGTTAGAGGTCTCCAGGTGCCTGGATAAAGTGGATAAGGTCACACCATATTGTTTTGACAAGCCTACTTTTCTGTTGCATGATGTTCAGCAGGAGTATTCACTAGGTTTTTGCTCAAACTCGGGTCCTTGCGCTTGCCAGGCAGGCTATCTCCCCAGCCCCAAAGGAGCTTACAGGCAACATGCCTTTCACAGCAATAAACTGCTTAAAATGTAAGCACCAGATGCATCATCTGATCACTCCTTGTATGTTCCACTAAATGAATCAACTATAAATTAAACCCCATCTTTCAGTCATCCTCCCCTGAGCTGAACCTGTGCTAGGAACATCCCTCACAGATGTTCTAGAGACCACACCTTACCAAACTTCCTCTTCCTGTTCATGGGAATCTGGTGTATTTGGTAAAACACCTGAATAACAGAGGTCTTGAGAAGCTCCAACTTGAATGGAGGCCAGACTTCTGCACCCTCCAAAGACCCTTTTGTCCCCTCCCCATGCTTCTCAGGACTTCTAGCATTTATTTGGTCATAAGACTCTATTTCTCTTGAGCTAGAATTCCTTTTCTCCCAAACGTCTTGAACACACTCGCCATGCCCCTACCCCCTAGCCAAACGAGCTCCACTGACCAATCTCTTTCCTGCTACTTCCTTCACTGCATCCTCTCCTACCCACACTCCTCGTACCTGCTATCCTCCCTGCTTGGGATACCCCAATTCTTCCCCTTTGTTTCCAAGACCCTGCTTGTATTGCATCCTTCTGGAAAACCAGGTTTTCCCAGACCTCTACCATCTCTCTGTGATAAAAGGCTATTACAATAAAAATTGAGACCATAGACTGTAGCCCAGAAAACTCTCCAGTGGTTAAGACTCTCTTGAGAACAAAGGCTGACACTGACACACTATCTCTCCTCACCCAGGGGCCCTGCACCAGGCTAGGCACGGAGCAGGCATTTGTAAGTCTGGAAAGGATGCTGCCAGCCTGGTCTACTTAGCCATCATTGCCTGGTCTTGACAGCTCAGAAAGTCTGTCCAGACTGTGTTTTTGTTGGACATCATGAGACAGGCAGGAAGCCTAGGGAAAGCTGAAGTTGTTTCCAGAATCGAGAGCATAGCAGGTCCTTAGCTGAATTCCTTTTGTAAAACATGAAGACAATCCAGCTGACATTAGGAAAAATTGAAGTTAGAAAAGAGAATAATCATCATGAAGCCTGAACAAACACCTAAAGTTAAGGCTTTCCCCAGGTCTAAAGTCTGGCAGAAGAGTGAGAGTTGGAAGGAAGGAACACAAGGACTCACCGTCTCCTTCGAACACTGGCTGGGTCTCCATCGTGGGGGTTGGTTTCGATCCATCATCTGAATTGAGGGTTAAAAAGAAGCGAAAAGAGACTACCATTATTGAGGTAAATACTATCTACTCTCCAGCACTGTTGAATGGTTTGGGTTTGTACATGGCCCGGCCAAGTCCCAATAAAGAGACCAAAGAAAGAGAAAATGAGAAGAAAAGACCAAAGAAGGAAAAGAGAGCCAGAGAAAGACACAACAGTAAAACAAATCCAGGTGTGTTCTCATCATCCCAAGGGGTGCACCAAAGGAGGTAGCCTCATGCTTGGGAAGCCCCAACCCCTCCTTCTAGCCTTGCTTCTGGCCATGCTCCTCCCAGCCTTGCTCCTCAGGAAGTGGCATCTCCTCCAACACCGGAGCTTTGGCCAGGCATGTTAGGATGAGGGCAGCAGCCTTTATGGCATCAAATGCTATGCTGCTGTCCCCAGTTCAGTCTCTGTCATCTTAGGAAAAGCACCAGCTCAGAACATTTTTCTTTTTTTTTTGGTGGTGCCAGAATGCCTTCAGGGCAGGTCTCGTTGGCCTGAGTTTTGGAGATTGAACCACAGCATCCTGAGCCTGACTGCTTTGTTTAAGCAAGCATTTAAACAACTGAGCTAATGGGCAGGCCCCTGTTAGAAACACACTTTCTCATGCCTTTATTGTTAAGGGCCACAATGCAAGACACCTCTGTAAGGCCTGACTTCTCCATGTATATCTGATTCCTTCCTCCATATAATTTGTGCTTCTAAGTGTAAATTCTTAGTGGAGAAAGTCCAGACAGGCAGAATGTTTTTCTAGAGGCCCTAATTGAAAATCTTAAGAGAACCTGAGTCCTGGGCATCATTCTTTTCCGGGAAGATCATTCTCCCTCTGCAGCACACTGAGGAAAATCACGCAGTCTTAGAACATTTCAAACAATAAAAGAGCACATACCATGATGCCCAGGAGCAGGTGGGACAAACAGAATCAGAGAGATCATCCTACTCTTGCTTTGAAATGTCTAACATTGACAATGGGAGCAAGGAGTTCCCGGTAGCAAAGTCATAAAGCTTTCACTCCAGTTCAGTGGGCAGCTCTTTCTGCATAGCCAAAAATCTCAGCAGGCCAGAGGCTAGTGGAGACTTTGTTTATTTACCTTTCAGGACTTGGAGTTACTTTCATGGAGGCCTCAAATCTTTTAATTTAGAAAATTGTTTCTGAGCCTTTTATCCATTATTGCCCAAATAAGGAGCATCTTTAAACGGGTTTCCCCTAATCATTTCTCTAATGAAATTTTAATAACATTTATAAACTGTGTATCCATTCATGTTCCACATGCATATTTTTGTGCTTTCTATGTAAAAAGAGTGCCTTTCTCATCCTCCTCCTCCCCCAGAAACAATTTCATTCTTCCTGAGAACAGGTATCTGTGCCCATCTTGCGGATATACAGTTGAGATATTTTGCTTTGTTTTCTCCTTCAGCGGGAGGAGGATGATTAAGCACTATTGTTCCAGGTAGTTTGAAGATCATACCAGCCCTCCCTTCTTAACAGCTAGATGTCTTTTACAATGGATTAGAACATTCTCTGCGTACTAACTCTTCACAGAAGTTACAAGTTCTCAGTCTGGGAGATGCCTGGAGGATCACGACTAAAAGCCGACCCCCACTACTGGGAGCCCCCAGTGCCTTTGGCCGACTCCCCTGAATCTGATTGGGGAAGGGAGAGAGTGTGTAATTCTGATCTCTCCTGTCATCATCCCATCCTTTGGAACCTTAAGATTTGAAATTGATGGAGATACATGTACACCCTCGATGGACACTCAGACCCGTAACCTGTCAGTCGTGACACCTGACCCTGCTGTTGTCTTCCTGTGCTGCCACCAAGTCAGCTCTCCGCGGGGCCAGAGTGACCCTGATCTACCTGATCATCACCCTAAGACACAAGAGGAGCAGGAAGGGGGGCAGCTATTCTTGGCTACCTCCTTTGCCTCCAACTGCATCCCCAACAGGCAGCTTCTGATGCCAAGCTGTGAGAGTTCGAGCTGGAAGCCACTGAAGGAGAGTAAAACCGGAACAGAGTCACACAATGTCATTTTTTTAAAGAACAGCCTCACTTCCCTTGACTCTATTAACACCTCTTTCCATTGAATTCAGTGAGCCATGGGATGGAGCCTTTGGCAGCTGCGCTGCACATCTGGTTGTTTTTGCCGGATGTGGAGTTCACAGGGTAAACAGCCCAGCACAGTACGCTCGGCCCCTCCCCACAGGGTGGCTCCTTGAGAGGAGACTCACCGGCTGACAAAGGGCAAGTAAGAGATCAAACACTCCACAAGGGACCAGAGTGAGAACCAGGGTGGAAAACAGCATGTGCGATATTTTAATATTCAGCGTAGATATTAAAATCCTCCCATATTACAAGAGCTGTAACTCCCTCTGGAGCAAAGATAACTAAAAACATTCTGTTTTCCTCTCCTGTCATCTAGACAGAAGCCTGGGGCTGCCCTTCTGGTCTCACCCTCAGCAAGAAGGTCTGTACCCCCCGCCAGCAAGCAGGGCTTCCTGGGGAAGACCTGCGCCTCTGCAGGTGGGTGACTTCCGCTCTGCCGGATGCAGGCACAGCAGCCCATGGAGGGCAGAGCCACTGCAGTGAATGGAGCTTCCTGCAGGCAAGGTCACCAAGGGTGAGGAGGCGCAGCTGCTGGGCTACAAGGGAGGTCCTACATGGAAATCTTTATAAAGTGAAAAGACAAGGTGCCCTGATGCCAGGAGCCACCTGTGAAATCTAGCATGCCCACAGGCCAGGAAGCCAGGCCAAAGCCAACAGGAGCTTCTAGCCGTCATCTCCGGGCACCTGGGCACCTGGCTTCAGACCCAGCAAATAAGCACACCTCTGCTACCAAACATAAACCCAAGGCCTGGGTCCAAGGTCCACAGCGCCTCTGCTTCCGGGCAAGCCCTGGAACAGCCCCAGGCCCCACACGAGGCTCTGGGAAACAGTAAGTTTTCTGAATATGTCCTTGGCCTCTCGGGCCCATATGAGATCACTCTGATCCCCACTTTATATCTAAGAAGTCAGTTAACCTGAACCCCTACCTTATCTCTCTGGGTAGCAATTTCCTCTTCTGAAAATGAAGAAAGCCTGTCTGCCAAGCCTCAGAATGCTATGTATGTATAAAAAATTTGCATAAAGACCTATTAAGAAGGGTATATAATTCCATGAGGGCTAACCATCTCATGCAACTTTTAAATTTTGTTTTGCAAAATTAAGGCCCTATCAAAGATTTAAAAAAAAAATGTACGTATTTGGTACAGGGTCTCACTATGCAGCTCAGACTCATAGTCATCCTCCTATTTCAGCCTCCTCAGGGCTTGGATTACAGGCATGTACCACCACACGTGGTCTTGGTGGCCAGCTCGGCATGCCCGGGACAGGGCTGGCATGGCACATGGTACCAGGGATTGAACCCAGGTCCTTGAGGCTTGCCTAGGCAGGCGCTTCGACTGCTGGGCTATATCTGCGGCCCATTATCAGATTTTAAATTAGAAAACCCTTAAAATTCATTAGGATAACTGATTTAAAACTGAAACAAGTATTTTAATAGACATGTCACCAAAGGAGATGTATGGATAACTAATAAATTCGTTTCCAAAAAGTCTTACAAATCTAGCAATATTGTAAGTATTTTAGAGTCTTTCAGACAACAGCAAGGTAACCATAAAGAAAATAAACACTGATTCAAACTTTAGTTAAATAGTTAAAATTTAGAGAAATAAATTTAATTTAAATTTAAAGCCTTCATCAAACAAAAAAATAATTTTGGCATTTGGTATATGTCTTTAAGCATACTTGAGAAAGGCAAGGGGTGGGGACATAGCTCAGCAGCGCAGCACCTGTCTGGCAAGTGCAAGGTCCTGAGTTCAATCCCTGGGGGGAAGGGCAGGGGAGAGATATAAAAAGATGTGCAACACTATCGGTCTTTAGGAACGTGCCAATTAAAACCACAATACCACCAATCAACCACTACCATGGATAAAATTTAAAAAGATAATACCAAGTATTGGCAAGGGTGAAGAAACTGGAACCCTTGTTCATTGCTGGTGGGAATGTATATTTTGGGCAGCAACTTTAAGAAAGAATTTGGCAAAGTTTGTTTTTTTGTTTGTTTGTTTGTTTTTAGCTAAATAAGTTTATATTCAACCCTAAAATTCTGCTCCTTAGGACTCTACTGACAATAAATAAAAATGTTCCTATAAAGACATATACACAAATTTCATAGCAACATTATTCATGAAAGTCTAAAATTTGAAATAATCTAAATGTCTATCAGCTGGTAAAGACAAATTATAATATAGCCATCTAACTGAATACCAGTCAGCAAAGAAAAAGAACGGATAACTAATATATGTGACAACGGGGATAAAGAGCCTCGTAAAATGGAAGTACTATATGCCATTAATTAGATTCCATTCAGGCAGCATGGCTAATAAAGATAAATCAATAGGGACAGAAAGATCTATGGCTGCTCAGGGGTGGAGATGGGGTGAGGTTTAACTATAGATAGTTTTGATGTTTCTGTTTGGAGTGGTGCAAGTGTTCTCTACTGTTGTTTACACAATGCTATAAATTTACTAAACTGTGCATATACAGTGGATGAATTTTGGGTATGTGAATTAAACCCCAGGAAAGCTGTTAAAACAACAGAGATTGTCAAAGGTACTACAGCTAAGTCATCAGGCAGCACAGCTTGATTGTATAACCAGTCCTGCATTCACAGAGAGACTCGCCCCTATATTTTCACATGTGTATCTGAATCTTACCTTACCTATACACTTACAGTGATCTGATGCCTGTGCTTCTTCTTGGTCATATTTTTGGACATCAAATAGCAAGACTTTCTCTTTAACACTATAATATTCTCCCAAATTAAGGGGCAGAAGATAGAACACTAGGTACACCAAGCTAATTCAAAGGCTACTAATTTTTCTTACAGGGAGGGAGAAAGAGGTAGAATTGATATTACCGTATGCAAATAAGGCAAACATGAGATAATTTCTTAAGGATGATTCCAAAATCAGCAATAA